CAATCTCCGCATCTCGTTCGACGACACGGTCTTCTATCCCTCGTTTTCCGTTCTTTCCGAGAACGGGAAGCGCTACTACATCGGTGGCGCCGAGCAGACCAAGATCCCGGTGACCACGGAATCCTGTGCCAAGCTCCGCAAGAGCGACTTAGCACAGGTTTGCCTCTCCTACGTCGTTGCCCGCTGCGACACAAATGCCCAAGCCTGGGATGTCAGGCTGATTCCGAGAAGGTTGACTTCGGTAACGGCCTTGAAGAGCCTCCAGCAGGCAGGGGAGGTGTGGGCGGCGATAACACAAGGCAATCAGGGATTGCCGCCTCTTTGCCAATGTCATGACAACCATCGAACCCAGACTATCTTCAACAGGGTTTTCCTAGGGATGGAGCCCAAAGAGACATTGGCCGGAGTCCCGTCGCCTGACACGAACATGTTGCAAAAACAGTTCCTTCCTGTAAGTGTGATTCTGAAACTGTCAGTGAATGTTCCCGGCTGCTGTAAGTTTATGTGTTCTGAGGTTCTTCGAGAAATGCGAGCCAGCGCCAGCCAGGGGAAATCTAAGGCTGTGGCCGTTTCGTACTCTCATGTACGGATCCCATCCAGTCTTCGATCACAATGACACATGGCACTGCCAGAAGAACTTCGTATGTTCCTTGAGGATGCGCCGCAGAACACCCACACTGCACGACATGTTTCTGTCCAGGTCATGCACTCTACTTAACGGAATCCCCCTGACAAGCTTCCAGGGAATGGACAAAACATCTGACCGCGAAGCGGCATGGATGCTCAACCCCAGGGTCATCGGAAAGGCCTGGGACTCCATCCCCCTGTGCTTCATGGCGTACGAACTCAGCCTCGTCAGTGGTCTGTGGAATGCCTCCAAGCTCTTCGAACCGGCCAGCCTCCTTGAGCTGACCTGCACAGGGTACTACTTGCTTCTGCTGCAATGCATGCAGGCCAGAGACCGTGTGGGAGCAAGCAAATGGGACGAGCTGACCTTCGCCAAGGCAACCTTGCAGAACGGGCTATTTCTTTGCGCTCACATGGCGGTTCGTGTCATGGACCACCCCGGCACAGCCCCCTTCGAGCCCGACAAGTGCACTGAGGCTAGAAGGGAAGTGGAGGGCGGGGTGGAGGGGAGGGGAGGGGGGGGGGGGGNNGGGGGGGGGGGGGGGGGGGGAGGTGTTGGGGCTTATGGTTTTGGGTTCCAGCATCAAAAAAAAAAACAAGCCTGTCAGGATATATCCGAACTTCACTTCGCCAGAGTGAAGAATGCAGTGGGGCATGGACTGCCGACATTGAAGGCCGGTTTGTTTGCGACCCAGCGGCTACATTACATGCAAAGGGCTAAAGGCATCAAGCAGGTCCAGGGCTCTCGCACATGGCTCGGCATGCAAAACCCTGACGTGGAAGCCGCTGGGAAGCGAGCTTTCAAGGCGGCTTGCACAATGCATGCAGTGCTGTCTGTGGGCAAATCGCCCCAAGACGTGGAGAAGGAGCTCAGCGAGTGGTTTGCAGATGAAGGCTGTAAGCTGCTCTTGGACACCGAGGCTGAGGATGACGACAGGCTTGACGAGGATGTGTCCGAGAACGAGCAGGAGGCCGCACATGAGCAACTGCTTGATGAGAATGCTGTGGATGTCACCGCCCGGAAGTGTCACAGCATTGCAATGATCGAGCGGGAGGCTGCCTTGAAAGCCTCCCTGAGCGAGATGAGCGCCGAGGATGCCGCGAAGGCCACTGCCACCGCGGCAGATCCAGTCTGCGAGACCGAGACGGCGGAGCAGTGCGGTCAAGCATCCCTGGCAACACTTGCACAAATCCTGGAGCTCTGTATCTTGGCGTCCTGAGTTTTTTTTTTAAATTGCGGGTTTCGGTAGTCTTTGGCTGCTTCCTGGCAGTGCTTCCTTCATGAGGCAACCTGGACAAGTACGTGCCCAGTGCGACGGATAGCAAGGCCAACGTGCTGAAGCGAGCATACAAGCTGATGCCTCACCTCCTTCAGTTCACGGCTGCGGTGCGAGTGGGAGAGGGCTTGCTTTCGAAATCCAACATCTCCGAGAAGCCAGCCCCGATGACAGATATCCAACGCAAGAGGAGTGAGCTGAGCAAGGCCCAGAGTTCCTTTCTGCTGGTGGGTGGCCGGCAGGGGCGTCAGCAGGCCTGGCAAACCTACACCAAGATGGTTAGTGAGTACATGCAGGGCACAGCAGAAGCCAAGGGTGGGGCAGAGACAATTGTGCAGTTCAGGCCGAGCTCGACGACTTGCAACGATGCCCGCCACTATCAGATCTTGGCAGTTCGTGCGACGACTCCGGGGCCTGTCGGCCTGGTCTTGGTAGAGGAGGTGTATCGCTACTCGAATAGGGCTTCCACCAAAGGCCATGGCTCCAAGCCCTTTGCAGAGGCAGTGCCTGCAGCATGCTGTGCTGGTCTGAAAGTCCGTTGGATGCAGTCGGGCCAAGGAGACGGTAAGTACTTTACCAGCTGCCTGGAGAGGACACAGTTCATGGAGCCGCACAACTTGTCGCCGTCCGAAGCCACGATTCTCTTCGAGGTTCCTTATGCCTACTGCAAGTTCGAGGAGTCCAGTGTTTAGCTCCAGGTGGCGCTTTCCAAAGCCGCCCAGGCATGTGTCGAGGCAGCCGCCGATGCCGACCTAGCCGAGCAGATGCCGAAGAAGCTTTGCAATCCGATCCTGTACGCTGTCGATTCCTTTCCTCCAACGGTCGCAGGCAAGAATCATATCGTCAGCTACATGGAGGAATTAAAGTGCATGTACGAGGCCTACTCGGGGAAGGCCTTGCTAGATGACAGCGGCCGTGTCGTGACAAAGTCCGCTTTCAAGGACTCCGTTTGGGAGAATCTCAAAAAGCGCACACCGGGGTACTTCTCCACCGTTCTCAAAACTGCAAAGGTTGGCGGCAAGGCGGAGAAGCTGAACAACGACTCCTTCAGCAATGCTGTTTGGTCGAAGTTCGCTTGGGTGAAACCATGCTCCAAGGAGGGCTGCAACAGGTTTCTGGGGTGGTTGAAGGAGATCGACACAACCGCACAGCTTTTGCTCACGACCAGCTGAAAAAAGAAGTTCCTGTGCAGTCAGTGTGTGGTGCGAGTCTGCTCATGTGAATGTGGTGTCCATGTTAGGCCCATGTTCATGCCAGTTTCATGCCCATGTCAGTCCCATGTTGGAAAACCACCTCGTCGAAGGACCCCCCAAACCCCCTCAATATATACATTCCCGCGGCCCCGAAAATGTATATTCGAGGGGGGGCCTACGTTTTTCGAGTTGGGCGTACCCATAACTACACCACCAACAGCAACAGCAACAGCAACAGCGATCCGGTTCATCATCAACGTCTTTATACGATATATATATATATACACATATATATATATATGTAACATATACTCATATACTATATATCTTAAACGCGTCCCGTCCTTTGGCGATTCCGGCTCATCATGCATCTTCAACACGTCCCCTTATGTGGCGATTCCTGGTCATCATATAGGTCTGAAACAGCCCGCTTCCTCTGGCCATTTCGGTTCATCACAGATTCTAAACACGCCCCCTCATCCGGCGATTCCGGTGCACCATATATCTCAAACACGCCCCTCGTTTGGCGATTCCGGTTCATCATAGACCATAAACAGACCCCTCATTGGCGATTTCGGCTCATCATGCATCTTCAACACGACCCCTCATGTGGCGATTCGGGTCGTCATAGGTCTGAAACAGCCCCCTTCCTCTGGCCGTTTCGGTTCATCATACAACTGAAACGTGCCCCCCCCCATTTGGCGATTCCGGTTCATCACAGATTTTAAACACGCCCCCTCATTCGGCGATTCCGGTTCGTCTTTATCTTAAGCACGCCCTCTCGCTTAATCATGTGTCTTAGACCCGCTCCCTCATTTGGCCGGTTCATTATAGTCATAAAGCTCAAGCACGCCTGCTCGGTTCCTATGAATCAAACACCTGAAATGCTCCCACTCATTTGGCTATTCCGGTTCATCATACATCTAACACAGACCCGTCCTTGCGCTATACGGGTTCAGGTAGATAGATCTAGATTGATAGGTAGATAGCTAGATAGATAGCTAGATAGATAGACCCACGTCCCGCGCCCCCATGTCCGCGCCCCACGTCCCGCGTCCTGTCCTGCGTCCCGCGTCCCCCGTCGCGCGTCCTGCGTCCTGCGTCCTGCGTCCTGCGTCCCGCGTCCCGCGTCCCGCATCCCCCGCCGCCTTCGCAGCAGAAACAAAAACCGACCCAGGCACGAAACGAAGCGGCCCGACGAAAGGGCAGGACGGGGCGATCCACCTTTGCAACAAAGGCACAAAACAGAAAACGATCCGAAAGCCTCGGACACGCCTTGACAACCTGTGACAAGGAACCTGCCAGAAAGTATGGCTCCGCCAGCAGAATTTACGAGCAGTAAGAAGATTACAGGCTTTGGTATTGAAAAAGGCACTCCTTTGGTCGTCATCATGGTTAGCCAACGGCGGGTTTGGAAGGAAATGTCCTGAACATGTGTCCTAGGCCCAGGGCAGAAATACACCCGCATGCCAGAAGAAGAGGTCCATGAAACAGTGGCGACCAGAAAAAGCAAGTACCTTGACACAGGGCAAAAACAAGAATACTATTTTCGCTATACAAATCATGGGGATAGGGCCACGGTCGGAACTGTGGAAACACAGTGAATTGCGAGGGTTTCTCAACCAAGATGGACTGAACAGCGCCAAACCAGTGGGTTCGTTGCGGCCGAGCCTACAATTGTTGCAAGACGAACCATGGGCTCTAGGAGCCTTGTGCCATTCGGTAGAACATAAGCAATAAGCTCAGAATAGACGGCCTTGGTGCCCATGCCGACCTTCTTAGGCAGCACCACACAGAAGTGTCGGCTGGAGACTTTCGTGCACATAAAATGTCTTACTAGGGCTGAAGTGACTAGTGGTGAGTTTTTAATCACACCGCACTGCAGCTCAATTTCTTCTTGCAGGTCACGGCTGTGCGACAACCAAGATGTCGAAGGGACTCCAGCAGTGTGCCTTTTGGCGCTGGTCGAACATGTCGTCATGGTCCGACTAGTTCCTGGCCGATTGTCGTGGCTTTCGAACAGGAAGTAGCCGCTGCAATGGACCAGGTACCGGACCTTCGTCTATGCGCTGGTCTGGGCTGAAAGATGGCCTTCTGCCTTTCGCTGGCAGTGACAGGTCCGTGCCAACTAAGGTTGAATGCGAAAGCCACTCGTCGCGAGAATTCGGCACACGCTGTTTGCTGAATCTGCTTGAGAAGTACGAAGGGGCTGGAAACCCAGCTTCACCAGGTGTTGGTGTCCCTGGCACTTCCCATCTGATGCAGCCAACGAGAGAGCTGCCTCACGTCCAGGTTCCGGTCGGGATACTGGCGGAACTCAGTGTCAAGAAGTTTCAGGCAAGCGGAATGTCAACACTGCCATTCGCAGCTGGGAATTCCGAACTGGTTGGAAGGTCAGCGCTGCAGAACCCCTCACGGTCATTGACGTCGAGCTTTTCCTGGTCATTCCCACAGGAGAGTAGTCTTCGGGCTTCTCTGCGAGACGAGCTCATCGAAGCGAGCGAATATGCTTCTGAGGTCATCGCGAAGCACCCGCGCTGTACCGATCGCCATGCAGAGCTGTGCGGCTTCTCAGCCAACAGATCCGACGACTTAAAGTGGGTCCGAGCAAACCTGAGGTTGGCACAAGTGCTTCTTCGAACTCCCTGCACGGCTCCGACCAGTGCGGCGCAGATTTCGTGTTACTCTGGTGCCAGGCTGTGCTTTGGAGAACCCTGATGTTGGACGTGCTGCAAGTCTGAACCTCACCATCGACCAGAATGCATTACAGTCATGCCCCTAGGGATTCTAGACCAAGGCCTGCCCTTACTGGTGATATTTCGGCGGTTTGCACGCGAGGACGTGCATGTTTTAGATTGCAACATTCAGCAGGGTTTGTCGAATTTTGGCGACGGTTTTGAATTGCTAGCTACTGCTACTCCTAGCAGCAGGACAGCCTCCAAGCATTGTTCGAGCACTTCGTGCAGGCCGTTTGTGTGTCACGACTGGCTCGCAACTGTGCCTCAGCCGGCCCGGCAGAGTGAGCAAAGGTGTCTCTAACAAGGTCCGCAGCCTCAGAGGGGACCAGCCCTTGGGGTCTGTCGTGAAGACTGGCGTCCGAGGCTGATCCAACGCGGGACTCCGAAGATGCAGGTCAATCAGGTGCTCGCCGGTCCTCTTCTGAAGAAGTGCCGCAGCCGCGGCCCCGCGGCCCTTTCGAGGTGCATGAAGTCTTGGCAAAGACTGCTTGTATGCGTGCCCGGGCCAAGCTGTTGTTGCAAGGGCCTCCGGGGACTGTTTTTCCCCAACAGCGTGAGCTCTGGGGTCTTCAGCCGAAATAAGGTTCAGGTCCAGTTTACTCGTAGGTTTAGGGTAGATTGGGGAGGTTGTGCATGTGTGCATACGTGTGCATCCCGTTCGGTGATGCCTCCCAAGGGAGAGCTCCCGCGCTCTGCAGGCAAACGACACATGCGAAACTATAAGCCGTTGGTAACAAGGTTTCCCCACACGCATCTGAGTCGTGCCGGGTGGTAATCGAAAAGGTTGAGCCTTTCAACAGCCGTCGCGAGGGCTGAGTTCTGAAAACAACCCTTGCTTTATAGTTGCTTGTGATGCGGCAGAGCACAAACTACCTCCCACATGCACCCTTATTTTTCCTTCGGGGCCCCTTATGGCCAAAGGGCTCACGGAACCGAATCCACATTTTGCATGTGCTGTTTCAGCAGAGTTGTTTTAGTTTAGGAGGCGCCGCGCTAAGTTCAACCCGCAGCATGACTTCGTAGCCACGATTAGCATGATTAGCCACGTTTGCTGCGTGTGTGCTTGTTCGGTTTGCTTTCGGATGCTTTATGAAGTTTCTTGTGAATTGAGTGTCACTGAGTATCTGCATGCAAGGTGTTCCATCCTTGGACCGACGAATGCGACGACTTCTGCAAGAGGCCTTGCGGGTGTTGGCCATGGCTTTGCTCGCAAAGTGCGAATGATTCGCAGGTCTGTAAGGCATACTTGTCCAGCTACGTCGAGCTGCATCCGAACTTGCAGGCGGTGCTGCAGCACTGTTCGCAGTCTGCTACACAGTGGCACACATTGGAGCTAACAAACACGGCGCCTTGTTGCCACTTCGGCAGTTTTTGTCCATGAAATGAAACCTCAATGCCAACAGTGGTGTTGGAAAGAAGTAGTTTTGCAACACTCCATCGCAACAAAATCCTGAATCGAGCTGCCGGAGCCGGGAATAACACGGTAAAACATTGGAAGGGTCACATGGTATTACATGGTAGTAGGCTGATACGCTACTGCGGTTTCTATAGTCTTCTTGATGAGTCCTTGCAGCTTCCTGGGTCAAGTGCTGTAGCCCAGTCAATCCGATAATTTAGTGGGCTTCTGACGCTTCCAAGCTCGGCAAGCCCTGCAGTCGCTTGGTCTGAATTGTTGACGCCGAAGGCGTTCAGCACGGATCATCACGGGACTTGATGCAGGGTAGCTCAACGCAGCGACTTCACCTCTCTCGTCTTCGCTATTCCTCGCTCCTGTTCCATACGTCTCAGGCTCTTCGGCTCTCTCTCTCTCTCCCCTTCCTCTCTCTCTTCCCCTCTCTCTCTCTAACTTGAAGTCCGTCCAAGGGCGCTGCCTGGACTGGATCTGCTGATCTGCCCGTGCTCTGGGTACGGCTGCTTGGGTGTTTCGCAGCACTCGAGCCACGCTTCCTCTTGATGAGCGTGCCGCAGCCCCCTGTCTCCAACGCAGATCAGTGTGTCTTGGCCCCGAAGCTCTTCGTCTCAGGTAGCTGCATTCCTTTCCAGATGAAGGCGAGGCATCGAGGCCGCTGCGGCAGGAACAGAGCGGGCCCAGTAGCGGTGCTCAGCCCACCGGCCAGGCTTGATCCTCGCTGTCACACTCGCAATCACTGGCGGCGTCAAGAGGCCAGCACGTATGGCACGTGGCACGTACTCTGCAAGGCCGGGGCTGGCGCCCCTCTCTCCGCAGATTTCCGCAGGTTCGAGGAGAACCCGGATCCGCATCCTCTTAGAAACGTACCGGCCTCTGGGTGATGTCCTAGGTCGTCGCTTTCCACGTGCTTTTTCCACGTGGGAAGGCGTCGGCGCCATGGCCCGTCGGCCACGGCCGCGGCTCCGGGGTGGTGATTTCGCTCTTGGAGACGCATTCGGCGGTCACAGAGGAAGCGTGGCTTCCCAGCCTCACCGATGTGCTACTTGGACACTCGCAGCTGGCGACTTCAGGTGAAGAACGAGATTCACGAGTTATTTTCCGGAGTTGCTGCCCAGTCCCTCTCCGATGTGAGGCCATGGCAAATTTCAGCATGCAAGAAGTTGGTTTAAGGGTGCGGCATAGCTTTGGAGGCACTTTGACAGCTACCTGAGCTCGCTCGCAACCGCCCTGATATCATTGTCAGACAAGGTGCAGCCGCCACGACGGCCCTTTTCCAGTATCCGAGTGTCCAGCACATTCTGTCCTGGAGGTGCGAGGACCCTACCTACAGAGTCCTTTGAGCGAGATTCTGAAAGTTATCGACAAGACACTCAAGCCGGGCATCGTGGACCAGTGGGGCACTCGTTTGCGGATGGACAAATCAAAAGCCCCCGTGTTTGCCTTCCTGCCGCGTTGTGACCCTTCCAGGCATGCCGCCGCGCAGCAGGCGCGGGGGCCAAAATGCAGGTTTCGGTCGTTGTCGTTGGTCACCCGCAGCCGCAGTTTACCGTTGTCGCCTTTGGTGCAGCACTGTCCGGAGGGCACGTGAAACGGTTGAGGCCATCACTCGTGCAGATCAGACCGTCATCCGTTGTCGTCTGGCTGCAGCAATTGAAATAAGTGTTGACGTTACACGCTGTCCTGTCGGAGAATTCCTACACTGGTGAATTTGGGGGAAGCAGACCCAGGCTACGACACTCTTTGGAGAAGCTTGAATCAATCCAACGCCATTCTCCAGTCTCTGGCTGAGAAGAGACAGGTCCCTCGGCAGGAGTAGCATCGCACTGGCCCGAAAGCAGGTGTATTTGTGTTATATAGTATATAGAACGGGCAGCAGAGTTTTCCGTTGCGGAGGCGATCAAGTCCTGCTATAGCTCGGCCGCAGCAGCACCTCGGAACCGACCACGCTGACAAATTTACAGAATGCTCGTGCTGCTGGTGCATCAGCCCAGGATTCGGCCGGCGTGGCCACCTCCCTTCTCAGTCTGCCTAGGCCTGGCGCATCGATGTCGCAGTCGCGATAGGCCGTCATGGCAGAGCCACCAGGTTATTGACTGCACGTGCATCCGACTGCGAGAATCTACTTGCAGCATCCAATGCAAGAGAGGCGCCTCTGCAAGCCGCGGGGTTGCATACGTCCATGCTCGACGCCGGAAAGGGCGGAAACGAAGCCAAGGCTTGGGCAGCTAGTTGCGATCGTCATGACGGTTCCAGTGTGGGGACCTATCTCATGAAGCAGCTCATGCACTGGGAGGCGGGTCGAGACCTGTAGTCAGCCGGTGTGCGCCGCGAGATACAGCAGAATGCAACAGAGCACCACATCGCACCGCTAGGATCTCCTCCAGCGCTATGACGACATCGAGAAGCGCTGCAAGGAGTCGACGGCGAGCTATGAGACGGAGGTCCTGAGGCGAGGCGGAGAGGAGTGCAACGCCATTCTTGGCCCTGAAGAGACTTAAGAAGCATTAAGAAGCTACAGGCTAGAGCTGTTTGCCAGGTATAATTCAATGAGGAGCACGGCGCTGAGCTTCGAGTCACTGGGAGCCCTCGGAATGGCACTCCCGCTCTTGTATCTCTTGTGAGGTCACCAGCACGATGGGGCCGACTGTCGGCCCCTTCAAGTCGACATGGATGAAGCCGCCTGCCAACAGGCGACAGCGAGTGCGACAGCCCTGAACATCCTGAAGACCTGAACTGCGCCTTGCGGCTGCTCTTGCGGCTGCTGCAGGCGCTGGATCGAATCGAATCTTGCGGGACCTACGGCAGCTGCATCAAGGCCAGACTCCCAGCCAGGGCCGGGATGACCGGGTCGAACCATCACAGTACTCTCCACCCCTGCTCCCACCCCGTAAGGCCGTAAGGCCTGACACCGCCTCCCGAATCAAGAAGTATCATCTTCTTTCTAAATGGAGCAGACGACTCCGACGGCTGGCGCAGGCCGTAGGGGAAAGTGGGGAAATGAGACTTTGCCGCTACGTAGCTCGAAACATTCGGCCCGAGGAAGGCCGGCTTGAACGAAGCCTGTGCTTGGGACCACGGAGACTTGCGCAGCAAAGACCGCTAAATCGGCTGCCCCTCTGAGACTTTGACCGCAAAGTCACGGACACAAATTACAAAGACAATGCGGATGAATCACGCTCTCGTGATTTTCTGAATCTTGAGGCTTGCCGCACTGGGGCGGTCTCAAATAAGTGTACTGAATGAAACCGGAAAGCGCTGCGCACGGAAACGCCAGGAAGAGAGTCGTTTCGCACTTGGTGTCAAACAGGGCTCGAGGTAGTTGGCTACGAGCGACCCGACTATGGAGCATACCACTTTCCTCAACTTTGGCTCCTGCTGTTTCAGTCCAGTTGCAGTTTTCGCACCGTGAGTTGGGCTGAACATTGTAGGGTAGACACGCTTTGTGAGGAGTAATCGTGAAGAGCAGACTTGAAACTTTGAAAAAACATTACAGGGGCCCGTACCTAGGATTCTGTGGACGGGCTTGTCACTGCCGATGAGTTGTCGTGAAGGCGTAATGGTTGGTCCCCTGCCAAGGAGAGCATCGCCGATCGAGCGGTCCTTCACGCGTGCCTTAGCTTGAAGTCATGACGTGCGATTTCCACCAGATTGCAATGTAGTCGTTGCTGCGACCTGTGGTGGAGGTCGCAGTGCAAGCTTGAAGTGAACTTGAAGGCCCCTCGAAGCCTTTAGGTGCCTGTGGGGTCTGGAGTTTCCGGCGAGGCACAGTGGTATGCATTGGAATCAATGAAGTGCCTGCTGAAGTCATATGAAGACCATGGAGGCTCCGAGGACTGCGGGCTGCGGGTTACTGCACGAATGCTTGCAATCGTATGGGCGCAGTTTCTGCTGATTTGTCTATTCAGGACTTGCTCTCGAAATTTGCAATCTGCAAGTCTCGTGGTCCTGAGACCTATAACCTCCACTTCCTGTCGCTGCAGGGGTGTGATGATATCAAGGCAGAATCGTGTAGGAATGCATGGTAGCTGCACAAGTCTCAAAACTTGTGCTCCATGCAGCAAGGCCGATGTGGCAGATGCCCTGAACTCCACCCATTCGAGTTCGAAGACTTCACGTGAGTGCGCCATCACCAAAGACCCACAGAAGGACCCTTCGCTCCCCGGTCGGTCGCTCAGGCTTGGAAGACTCGGAAGGGCCCCCTAGCCGTTGCATGTCAAAGGTACTGCTGCGTACGCAGCTTGTCGGCAAACCCAGCAATGTGAGCAATTTCTGCAATCTCGTCAAGAGCTGCCTGATCCAAGGAAGCGACATACTACAGTGGCTTTGAGCCTGCAAAATGCACTGCGAAGTGCTGTGTACGGCCTCCTTTCACCACTACGTCCACAACAACATCAACATCATCGACCTCCACAACATCTACGACATCAACTACCGCAACCACCACAAAAAGTGCTTTCCTTGCACACTGATTCTTGTACGACACTGAAGCAACCTCATGCACCCATGCTGCCTCACAACCTGCTTTTCAGGTGCGGCAGCATGCTTCTTGGTTTCATTACCGATGGCTAGGACCACATAGATTCCGCTGGTAGATGTTCGAAGGCAACCCCACGACGGTCAGCATGGAGCGCTCCAAGAACGGCACGTGTACAAAGCTCCCGGACGGGCGCCAAAGGCTCTTGCGCTGTCGCTTGCACGCTCTTTGTCTCCATCTCCAGCTCCGTCTGTCCGTCTCTTTCTCCGCTTTGCCGTGCAGTCCTTCGGTACCGAGCCACCGCCTCGACCTTCATGTCTGAAGAGGTGGGTGGCGAGGCTGTCGCCCGCACCAGGCACCCCAGAAGCGGATCTCAAGGAGTTTGGACTGGCATTGGAACTTGGTCTGAAAAACCTCTTTTCGTGTTCTTTGCTTCCACTTTTCATTTCCGAACTGCACGTCGGCCGCCCGTGGTTCTGTTTATTGAGGCAATCAAAGCTGCGAAAGTGACCAACACATCGAAGCCGCAAACTCCTGAAACGGAGATCCCACATGTGGCTCGGTCCCTTCCAAGACTGCCGTGAGGCCAAGTGACGCGTTCTTGCATTGCCACCCTTTCTGTTCAACATCATGCAGTCGTAGATGGGTCGGAGCTGAACGGTTGAAGGACATGTCCTATGCCTGGGTTTGTATGATCGTTGCGGAATGATGCATCCTCGCCGGCTCTGGACAGAAGCACGTGGATGTGCTTTGCTAAGGTGGTGATGGGCAAGGTGCACTCCTAAGTTTTTGAGTGCTGCTCCTGGGCACCACCACAAGAAGTCTTCAGTGGTGAGTGCGGAGGACGGGAAGCTGACGCTTTACTTGGAACACCCGGGCAACTGCGATGAGCAGCGCAGCGTCTTGCAGCGGGTGCTTCCAGCTGACAGGACCGGATCGGATCGAGGGATGTTGGTTCTGCTGCCATGAGCTCTCACAGCAGCGCAGGAGCATCAAGTTGCACCGTTGCAAGGGCTCCGACGACTACTTTGTTTGAACTGACATGCTGAGAGATGCCAAAAGAGTTTCACTATTTGTCGGCCGTGATCGCAAGCAATCCACAATTCGACAATAGCATACGAGTTTGGCAAGCTCCGAATGATTTCCTGGACGCTGTCCCCGCAAATGCAGCTCCCTCTTGTAAGAGCAGTGAGAGGATTGTCTCCCAAGCTTGTTCTCATTCCTACGACCGCCGGCGTGAACTCCTGCATGGGAGTACGTGTGAATGACAGAAACAAGAGACGCTGCCCTCGAGACATGTATAGATAGGTGCTCTAACGACTTCCTGACCCATCGAGTCAGGTTGCATCAAGGATTCCGCAAGACCAGTCGATGTGCTCAAAGTGCTTTGGGAGGCTGTGCTGGACCTTTGGCCAGAAGACGAGCAAGATCTGAAGCGTTGGGCCGCAAGCTCAGGGGCATTCCGTGTGCGGCCAGTTGTGCGTGCATCGTGAAAGGCTCAAGCGATGCAGGCCGAGGACGCACACCAGTCACACACACTAGAGTGTTACGCCAACCCTGGATTCGGACGAAAAGACGAAGGGCGCAGCGATCAGGGAGGGAGGGCTTCTATCCAAGCTTCGCAAACGCCTTGCAAGCAAGCAAGGAGGGAACAAACAGCAGACCGGTTGCAAAGTGGGGGTTGTGAGGTTTGGCAGTTGTAAAGTAAGGGGTTGTAAAGTGGGGATTCTGGTTGTAAAGCGGGTTAATCGCCCCCTGCTGCCTGCGAACAGAAATGAAGGGAGTGACTCCCTGTGCCGATGAACTAGAACACCATACGCAGGCACACACGCACAGTTACACACGCGCTGAGCAGAGCTGGGCGTCTTTGTAAGTGTCGCGGTTGACAGGAGTCACTGCAGAGTCCCGCCAAAGAGGAGCTCAATTTGCGCACTCAAAGCGGGGAGGTGGAGGAATGTTGAGGATTTTTCAACACGCATCTGGTTTATGTATGCTGTTCCTGAAGGGACAGAGTCGGGTAAACCAGCCGTACCTTTCATGATGGAAGCGTGGATCATGCACGGATTGAAGCTTGCAGGAAGCAGCACCAACTCCTGTCTCTGCTGGCGAGGATTTTGGCAACTCGCTGTAAAGGCATGGAGTCAATGTCCCTCAATCTCATCCTGTGCCAAGGCAGCCATGGCTTGGAGCTTCGATCGATTTCTCCGTCAGTGCCCGGAAGCCTATTCTTGCTGCAGCATCATGTGTGCAAGTGTCCGTAAGCGCGTCAAAGGCACAACGATGCTCAGCCCAGGCCTGCTTGGACCGTTGCTTGATACAGGTTTCTTCGTGATACTGGTAGATTTGCTGTGAAGGTCCCATTCCTTCGCTGACAGTGACTGGCTTATCATGCAGTTTTGCTGCGTAGGGTTTTCTTCTGTTGCAACAAGCTTTCAGGTTCGACCGCCCAAGTTGCGCAGCTCGCCAAAGAGCCAGAGTCTTACGTGTCTGACACGTTTGGAATCCTGTTGAGCATAGCGTGGTCTCGCCGGCAAGTCAGCGGTGCAAACTGCTTGAATGGCTTGTCTTGTTCTGGGGCGACACATTACGACATGTTTTGAAGTCCAAACATCAGCGTTCACGATACATGCAGAAAGCCCAGTGCCTTCACAGGAGATTGAGATCAAGGCTGCAGGTCAGGTCCCGTAGTCACTACCATGTAACCCGCTAACATCTAGAAGATGGCGACGTTTCAAGTTTCGGTGTGGAAGAGTTCCTCGGCTCTAAACAAATACCTAAATATAGCCTGGCTGCTCCTGTCTCTGGGAGCTTGGAAGTTGCGGTAGCGAGATCGAACCAGCAGCCAATCTACTGTACTTGTGGTGGAGCGGTTCATCCCGTGAGGAGTGGTTAGTAGTTTCATATTGGGCATCCATGAACATGGCGAATACAGGGCTGCGATTCGATCAAAAGCTGACATTTCGGGGTCACTTGCATTTTCCAGTCGTACTCACGGCTTCCAGCACACGCATGCACTTCCCATGCACATCCAAGACTTTTTGTTGCCGTGGCTTCTGCAACTTGTCGGTGGGTGGGCCAAGTGCTAAGGACAGAGAGTCTGCGTGACGAGCTTGCTGTTGCGAAGGACACGTGCTTGGGTTGGTTGAATTCTGTTCCGCAGTTATTGTATGTATGATGTTGTGCTCCGAAGGACAAGCAAGCAAAGGCCCTGGCTGAAGCAGAGGCACGCTTGAGCCTGGCGCGCGCTCGCACGTTGTGCTCCGCATGTCTTGATGTCGGCGGGTCCGCCGAACCTGCGAAGTGGATGCACTGAGCTTCGCAATGCTTCACAGGCCTTCGTAAAACCACGCTCCTAAGACGCTCTCCCCAGCACCGACACTATGCGTCCTCCTTTTATTGTTCACTGAAAGTGGCTAATTAATGACTGTAGAGGGTCCGCATGCTGTGTGCCTCGTGCATCGCAGGCTCTCCGGAAAGAGCTCGGCCTCGAGCTGAGCGCATGACGAGAGATGCGTCTCGATCCGGGCTCTTGACTTGCGACAGGCGAAGCCAAGGAGTTGCAGAAAAAGGCCATGCAGAAATCCGCGCGTTGTGCGACGACAGAGTATGAGATGGCATGCCACGGTTCACAAGGGTTTTGGGCAATGGCGAGTGCGGCAGACATAATGCTTCAGCGTGGGCGCACTGATCAAGAAACATGCAGGTGAACTGAACTGTTTCGAACAGCAGAAGCAGGTTCTTGTATGGGCTTGGCGGCACGTTGCTGAGTTTCATGGTGGGCGGGCCAGGTGAACGCAAGTTTATTATCGCATGCCGTCTTGCTGTCTTCTCACTGCATGTCTCAGCCTCAAGCCTTTGTTTGACTCTCACGCTGAGTGATCATTGCAAAGAAGAGAGTCGTTGCTGTGCATATTTCTCAACGAAGAGGCTCACCATGTTTTGTGCTTGCAAGTCTGACAGTGCACATGCTTGGATGTCGCAGTGACTTAACGTTGGTGAGTACCGTTCCGGGCATTGAACTCTGGTGGCCCCAGCTTTGGTGCAGGTGGAAGCTGAAGTTGAGCAGCTGCAGGAACGCCGAGAGGAAACTCTGCATGCACGGCATCAGCACGCCCCTTCTTTCCCGAAGGGGCAACTTGCAGTGGCGGATGTGTGCAGAGGAGATAATGGCCCGGCGGCGGCACGGGTCTCAGGGGAAGCGAGCAGCGCATCGCAGCGCCGTCGCGCGTCGAGACGTGGATACTCTTGGACCTTGGATGAAAAGCCTGAGGCAGGCAGCTTCGAAACGAGGTCCAGATATCTTGCCTTAGCCTGTTCATGTATGCTGTCCTTTCCCCTTTCTTGGTTTTTCGGTTTTGTCTGTAGGAGAAGCGAAGGCCCGCGTGCTACCAAGAGTGGATGTGTTTTCTGAGGGCTTTGCATGGAAGTGGCGAGGGCGCCCATGATCGTCATGCGTTGCCGAGGAAAGCCCGCAAAGGCTGAACCTGCAGCCAGTGAAGACCTCACAGAGGAGAGCCCCTGCCCTGCCTGTGCTGTTGTCGCTGTTAGCAAGCAATCCTAGCCCGCAAGACTTTGTGGGCGCCGTGACTCCTGAGCAGGTTGATACTGAATTCTTTAGCCGCTCCTTGAGTGAAATCTTTCCCCACCCATTCCGAGCTTCCTGGGCTTGTTTTTGACATTTTCGGGCGAAGGCCGCCGGCAACAAGGAGGCAGAGCATGCCGAGCAGGAGGCAGGTCGAGCGCCATGGAGCACTCAAATCAGAGCTAGGCTGCTGAGTTCGTTTCACGTACGCTGTAGGCTGTAGGCCTCAGGATCTGTTAGAAGCCTCTGCAGAGCTTTGTAGCTGGTGGGGTTGGGCACAGCGTTGGGCACAGCGACTTTGGAAGGCTGAGGGGCGTCCGAAACGTCAGAGGAGTCGACCCCGCAAAATATCACATCGCAGATCTTGGCGATGACGTCTGCGATTCGACATGTAAATAGCGGCCCTCTGGGTTGCATCGACAAATGTCACGAGCTGGATGTGAAATTGCAGCGTCCAGCCATGTCCAGTATTGTCCAGTGCTAATGCTACCTGCTTCCGCTACTGTTTAGCAGTTCAGGCGCTGGCATGGTTGACAAGGAGAGTGCGAAGCCCGTGGTCTTCTTTTAATGATGTGATCTTGCAAAGCAAGCGGTCAAAACAAACGGATATAGAGATACACATGGCTCAGAAGCTTGGTCCGAAAAACCCTGCCAAGTAGCATGGGATGCCTTGGCTTCGCAGCTTCTCATAAGGATATCGGATTCTTGGCCGGCTGTGCCCGCAGTGTTTGCCGAGTGCGGCTCAAGAAGTTCCGAGTTAGGAGCCCGACATCCGACAGCTACGTGGGTCAGAGCTATTTTCATCCTTCGCGTGTCCACAACCATTCCGGTTCTTAGAAACATTTAGAAACCAGGGCGGTGTGTCGGGTTTAGTTGAGCATGCTGGAAGCTGGCCTGGGGTCCACCATGCCAGTTACTACATGGATGCATCAATTTGCCGTTTTGGCTGACGACAACTTCTCCGCACCCACCGCCTGCAGCCAAGTCGGAATCTGTTCCAGGCAGCTACTTAGCATTCTCACCATGTGTGGCAGTATGACAAGGCTAGCACATGAAGCCCTCTCCGGCATGGGCCTCTAAGAGAGTCTCAGTCTGTCTCAGTAGCTTGTGGATGCCCGTGGCGTCAGAGCATCAGCTGTGCAGCTTGAGCTTGACATAAGGCTTTTGAAGCCGTGCCCCATTGGATAACGGTTGAGCAGCGCGGGCCTTCAAATACGCTTACTTTTGCTTTGCGCCGAGTGAAGAGCTCACGATCAGCTGAGGGGAGATCCTGAGGGGTCAGAGTTGGAAAGACAGTGGGATGAATGCTTCGAGGCCGATCGCCCGCACTTCACAGCGTGGCATCATGATCCAGAAGTTCCCACACATTATTGCAAGGACTAGATGCGAGTCGTCAAAGTGTTTTGCTTGTTGCAGGGAATGCTCAGCCGACGCGATGCTGGAGCCTCAATTGG